GGAAGGATGCTGTAGAGAAAGTCCTGGTTGAGTCTAAGGGCGCCCAACCTTAAGGAGGGCCCCGCCATGATAAAAGAATAAGAAGAGTATATGTTAAAAAAGAAAAACTAGAGGGAGGGCCCTAACTCATCTGGTTGAGCCACTGCACTAAACTTAAGAGTCGGACCACCCATATTCTTTTGCATAGTGAGCTCCAATAATAATACTTGAAATATGGAAATATGCATAGTAATAGACAAGTTAACATGAACCACCCCCCCGTTCCATGACCATTGCTTTCGGTTTTAACACCCCCTCCCCCATTGCGCATGTTGAAGATCGTAGTAACAATTCGATATTGGTTCATTATCAACCCGGTGGCAAAATTTTCCAATCGAATAAATTGGGGTAAAAGATGTTTATTAGAAGTCTGTCGTTTTATCATAATGTTTAGCGATGTTATCCTAAATATCCATCGGCATAGTTTGACCTTAGTAGAGGGCATGTCGACTGTCATAGTTCTCTTGCTATGCCATATTATAACTCTGTAGTCTTCAAGCCACCCTAATATCTATGGCTAGATTAGATCTGAAAGGGACAAGGACATATGGTATTTTATTAATCAGTGTTTTGAATTTTGAGCCTAATATTACACTGCTCAAATAAAAAAAAACCCAGTTTATTCATAGGAGGTGAGCAGAAATGGCGACAGTTGAATATGTATCATACCCAGCATAGAGTTAAACTAATTCTAATTAATTTCGTAATGAATTTTTTTTTCAGAAATTGATTTTGCATAGGCCTATCCAATTCTGCCGTTGCATGATAATTCAAACAACTGAATGCTTCACTATTGTCTTTAAAGTCACCAGAACATCTCGCTTTCTGTGATTAATTCAATATTCTCCTCGAGGCGCATCCGTTAATGAACACGACCAATTACTGTGCGTTTGATCATTGTTCAGTACAGGTGAATATTAGTCATGTGACAGTCATGTGATCATCAACCGTTAGCGAGTATTACTTGTTCATCAATGTATTACATGTATATCACTGTGTTCAATGTTCACATAACGGTTGGATTGTGCAGGTGCTCGCTCTAGTTTGTATATAGTATAAACAGTAACAGTGTATATTAAAACAAAAGGTTTATAAAGTGATTTTTTCCTGTGGATAAACATGTTGTTTATTAAAAAATTACCAAAATTAACTACAGAAGTTGAACAATTTGTTCAAAAATTCCTTGAGTAAGTTATTTCCTACATATTTTGAATTATTATCGTCAACTCAGCATGTAACAGTCAGAATAAGATTATGTTGATGATTATGTATGTAAGATATCTTTCAATATAGATGCACCAATGCCAAATATTCATTTCGGGTAAAATTTAATTCATTTCTTTGAATTTCATCGTCTAGACACTAGGGGGTTTGTAAGCGTTTCAATTGAAGAACTTATCTGTTTAATTAAAATTTTGGTTACAATGCAGAAGTATACTCTGTTAACAAACAATAATAGCTGTCTAGTGCACCAGATTAACGCACCGATGTCTTGTATCTCAGAAAAGGTCAGACTAACTTTGCTTAGTTAATCCTAAAGAGCTTAATCTAAAAGAGATTTATAGTTAAAATCTGTAAGCAGATAATACTGGGCCACAATTCGGGCTCACCTCCAAAGATAAATAATATTTGGTGTTTGTCTATAAACAGACAACATGAAACATAGAACGATAAGCCTTGCTACGTATAAATGTTATATAATGTTTAATACCTATGATGATAATTAATGCATGTTTTCATTTGTTAGACCACAACTGTGATACTTTGATATTCAAACCTGTTGAATTTCAGTTGAAATGCGATGTCTAATTCTCAGAAAGAATATTATTAGAACTTGCTATACTAGAAAATATATATTGCATGTAATTATAAATAACTATTTATATCAGTAATAAATTCTTTAGTCTAAGATTTTCAGTGCTATTCTCAAACCTGTTGATTTGCAAGAGAGGGCGTGGGAGAGGTCGTAGTCTTGTGTTTCACAAAGAAAATGAAATGAAATGAATGGAGTTTTACGTCCTACTCTTCTGCACCTTATGGGTGTTTCACATAGAAGGAGTACATATTATGTATTATGCGATATTATAACATTTGTTATAAACAGCATTCTATATTAGTTATAAAGATTAATGCATGTTGTCATCTTTGAAAATACTAAAAATCCTAATATGTTCAGCCTTGACAGGAATTGCACTGGAGAGAGGTAAGATATCTAGTGCCTTAAAAAGAAAATTCTGCATATTGTATGATATTTAGCCTCTCAATAATAGTAAGCTATAAATTCTTCGTGCATCGTTTGACATATAGGGACAAAAAAAATCTGTCTACATTTCCAAATTCTAAACGATATTAGCAGTATGAACAGAGCAATTAAAATTAAATCGATATTTGTAATAATAGAATTATGAATTATAGGCCGGCATCTGGTAGCTTTATACAATACGGGAAGAATAAGGTGCTTAAAGTGAATGTTTCCCCTCAAATTTACGAAATCGTTTGGTATAACTTCAAAACGTGTCGAAAGAGAAAAAAAACCTTGAATATTTCAATTGATTTTCTATGTGTATCGGGGCCAGTTATTACTTCTATTTGCATCATTTCATTTTTTTTTCTCATGCTTTTGGTTCCTGTAATTATAGAAAATTCTTAACCTTATACACCAATCGCAAATTCTGCACTAATAATGTCTACGAAATGCTTTACGAAAGTGTCCCTTTAAATTACTCAGGTTACTATAGCTTTAATGTTGAAAACTGAAAGTAGTTTAACAATGAGTTTAAATGAAGATAATATGTCGCGGGTTCGAATTTATCTCAAATTTTTATACAATACTAGAACTATGTCTAACATTAAAACGTTATTTTTAGCTTTATTTAACAGTATGCTGCATACAGGGCATGTTTTGAGATATTCATAGCACATCATTTCATCAGGAAATGTTTTGTCTCAGATCGCTGAAAAGATTGCTTGAGAGCTTCTTATTCGTAAAAATTCTCGCGGTAAGATCCTTGGCTCAGAATATAGCGCTTGTGGGCTTCTTATTCGTTAAAATTCCCGCCGAAAAACCATTTTTCTCCAAATTCATGGAGGCATTGGGCAGTTTTTAGATACCTGTTTTCAGCAAGCGTGTCGCTTTCTGTCCTGTCGTTTGTCCATTACACAAATCACTTGTGTAATAAGCTATATGCATTTTAATTGGTTGTGTTTGATATAGAGCGTCTGTTGTTTTACACACGTTCGACTGTTTTTTTTTTCAATGTACTAAGTAAATAAACCAGTTGAACCCTATACATGTAGAAAAATAAATATTCATTGCTTTTTTTAACAGGTAATTAAAATATTGTGACAGATTAATGTTAGTTTTTATAACTGATTTATTTCAAAACAATAATATATTCACCAAATACTCGTTTGATCGGGTAGGACTACTATTACCTTCAATATCGTCAATCAGCACAACTACTGACATATCACCATCTTGATGGCGTAGATGTTATAATGTTTTTGTCATCTTCATTGTCATGATTGTGCCAGAATCATTACATTTGTCATCATTGCCTCCATCGCCATATCAACAACCGCAAGAACAATGTACCAGTATAAGATGTTTATTTATTCATTTCCTGGTTTTATCAGTCACTGAAATATCGAAATAGAGGTTGATGTGATTTTTTTAATGACATTTTGTCCGTCACTGTCAATAAACCAATGTTATATAAGTTACAGGAAATACCATTGATACATGTCGTTCTTTTATATTATTGTTTTTGACTTGTTTTTTGTTATTATTTATGATGAAGCTGTCAATATCATTGAATATTTTTCCAATTTGTCATTTTTATGGTGGTGCGATGACCGATACATCACAGTAATTCATCTTCATATTAAATATCTTGACTTCACTAACGTCACATAACTTCCGGAAAATTCAATAACTCATTGATCTGAATATCACGTAGGTTAAGCTTATATAACATTGCGCAGCACAGTATATAGCATGGTCCATGAAATCAGCTTTAGCTGGAGCAGACGTGTCTACCAACCAGCTAAACAAAGTGCCACTTTGTTAAGGAGTCCTCGGATTCCCCAACGACCAGATTATGACGTCACTATTGCAAAAACTATTTGACTTAAATTAAGTTAAATGGCATTAATATTGGAGACCTCTGTCTTTTGAGTATCCCATGGTAGTTCCCTAATCGAAGTCATTCTATTTCTCACGAAAATTCTAAGTATGACGAATGCTTGGTCATCTGAAGCCGAGAACGTTCACCCTAAATCGCTGGCGGCAAGACAGCCATGTCGAATAGTAATAACGATGGTGGTTATCACGACGGTAATAACAGCAACAGTATAAATATTATGCTTACGATGATATTGACGCCATCATGATGGTGATTACTGATTGATGATGGTAACGATAGTGAAGGTAATGGGAGTGAAAGTTTTGTTGACTTTCAAACAAACGTTCACTTTTTGCGATATTGCAAATAGTTGAATAAAGATATCATTCCCCTCTACCTTTCCTTTTCCAAAAATTCCATAGCTACAAGAATAGCCGGCGGTCATGAAGGAAAATACGCAGAACGTCGCCTTTTGAATTTCCCAATAGGCGAATCTACTCTCAGTTTGGAAGAAAAGGTTGCAGAAACATTGTCACAATCCTCCAGGCAACTGGAAAAGACAGTTAAAGGTCACATAGAAATAACATTTATAAGAATTCTTATTTAAAGAAGTCCCTAAAGCGAGATGACGATAGTTCTTTATTTGGTTTCCTTTGGACTAAAACAGAGCACTAACAGATCAATTTACCCATATACGAATGAAAGGAAACCTTGTCGTTATAACCAAGGCTTATTTGTTATTTAGTTTGATTTGTTTAAGGTCAAAATTCGGAATAAGTCATTTTTGTCATATATAAAAAAAGAGAAAGTCAGATATAATGAATTATATGAATAAAAATGGTTCAACTCAGGTCATTTTTTTAAAACTCTTGACGTAAAACTTTACCCGATTCTGTACATGTGTATTTATTTAGGCTACAACACTGTGTAGACCTAATCTTGGATGGAAAAGGGTGACATATCGGGTGTCCCTTTATATGGCGATATTTTCTTTCAGATTACAGATTTGTTTGATTAAATACGACCCGGAGATACTTCTAAGTTTTAAGTGTAATTCAATGTTGATGAATTTCAGAAACGGTCATTCATTTCATTATATATTATCTCATTTCAGTCAGAATGTCGTCACCTCGCAACTACCGGAAGTGGAAGATGAGGTTGCCATGCAGAAAGAGATATTCGCCTGCTGTCAATTTGCCGTTTCTCTCCAGAATGTGACAGTTTTTGAAAATTTATGTCGTGAGATAAAAGGAAACGAAGAATATCGTTGTCGATTATTGTACCAAGCCATTGATATTGGCTGTATTGATATCATTCAAATTTGTTTACGTCACGGTATGCCTACAGACGATTGTCGTAAAATGCTGGAATTTGAAGCGCCATTATTGTACGCTATTGATATAGGAAACCTCGATGTCGTCAAATATCTTTGCTCGGAGCAAAAAATTAACGTTCGAGTTACTAATAAATACGGAATGACGGCAGTGATGATTGCTGCCAAGAGAGAAAACTGCGCATGCTTAGAAATTTTGATGAAACATGGATGTGACGTAACAACACGTGATCACTTGGGAAATACTGCCTTACATCATCTTAGTTATCCGCTCTCACGAACACATAAAGCTCTCCCTTGTTTAAAACTTCTAGTTAAAGCCGGATGTGACGTCAATGCGCAGAACTCTCATGGGGATACAATTTGTCATGTAGCGGAAGTGCGTCAGCATTATCAATTAGTCGAGGCCTTGGTTTCTGAGAACTGTGCGATAAATTCCAGTGATTTTAGGCTAATTCCTTGTTTAAGTAATTTATGTACAGGACAGGCGTTTAGCGTCGTGCGCCGCGGGTCCATGTATTACTATGATGGAAACACATGGTGTTACAGAGAGCCTCGTGTCGATACTACCAAACATCATTCCGTTGCATTTAAAACCCTTAAAGATGCCTGCCGCTTTGAGATCCGCAAACATCTTGGCTTAAACATTTTTGATAAACTTGAGAAGCTGTGTTTACCCACCGTGATAAAAGACTATATTTTACTGAAGGATGTTCTTTCTGAAGATTCTTTCATTAAATCATAATTTATTGTTGTCTGAGTTATATATTTTGTGACTAGTTACTCCCCTTTGATTTGTCGAAAACTGAACCCTTACACTAAGCCTCATGAGGCCTTGTGATAAACGGAAGGTCTTTTCTGGTTGCACTGCGATACGAAACCTTAGGTAATCGCAATTGGTCGTAGTAGGGTACGTTTCTGACGTTATGCGAGAAAAAAATGTAATGGCGCAAGCAATCTCAAAAGGCTAAAACGAGACGGGGAAGGGTCTAGAAAATCTCGTGATATGTAAAATTATATTTTTTTGCCAAAGGCAGATAACTCCACTATCGATGATCTTCTGCAGATCACAAAAATATTCTTTTCACCATGCGTTTTTCTTCTTTCATTCCTGTATCGCACTACTGCTTTACATTGTCCATTACCAAGGCTTGTAAATACGATTTGTTTCGTGGAAAATCGTCATCAGTCCTTAATGCTCTGATATTTATGATGCGAGTGTATGACCAATAGAGGGCAATTGGCCTTTGGAATCCAAACATCATCTGGATGCGTTTTATAGACATCACAAGAATTTCAGTCGTAAAAGGAGGAAAATGTATCGATGCAAATATGAGCTATACTTATAAAGGGGCAAGTGATCCTCTCAATAAGAAATAAAAAATATAGATGTATATCATTATCAAATACTAGACAAAAGCTATGCGCCATATGGTCAATCCCATGGCGATCATGGTTTCATTTTCCACACTTTGATGTAGTTGATTTGTAAAGCTGCGTCTTCACCATCTCGAACATGTGGGTTCCAGGTTGGGTACCACTGATTCTTGGCTCGCCAGAAATCTGTAGAAGCTTGTGGGGAGTTGTCTTTCCATGGTTTAGGGCGTGGTCCATGATTGGAGTCAGCGAAATAATGAAGCCCACCGACGGCCACGTTGAGTATGATATAATACTGTAAATAAAGGATAATATTATGTATCACACTATTAAATGCACGAACAAGACGCAGGCCAGTAGACAGGCTTGATTGTTCGGAGGGGCAAGTAATATATCTGGAGGAGCAATGGTGTATGGTGTTTAGTTGCAGTAGTGTAATTGGTCCGTTGTCAGAATTTTTGCAGGGTGATGAGGGAATCCATTTTATCATGGACCACCCTCCCTCAACTCTTGCCCCCCTGTAGCTACGGGACTACAACAAGAGATACGTACAAGTAAGTTTTATAACTTCTAATCAAAATAATATTTTATGCTCCACTGACAAAACCGAAATTCAATTTCTATAGTTTTGAGAAGACAGAAAATACCTTATTTGGTATAAAAATATGAAATGTATGTCACCGTAATGGTTCCACAAATTCACCAATGAACCACCTCCGGTTCTGAAAGTTAACTTTGCCATTTTTTGCTGTTTATGTTTAATACTTTTACATACCTCTTGATCAAATGGTGCCATTTTACTCGCAAACCTCCAGGGATTTTCCATGCTAGTTTTATCAAAGCCTCCAAATTTCCAGAATCCTCCAGAATCAGGTTTAACATTCAATATCATATCACCGTCCACAGAAAATCTGAAATGGTAAAAATCCGCAATGCAATGTTAACTTCCCCGCTGAATACCAAAAAACATCCCTGATTATTTGATATATGAAAGATGTGCCAAGTTAACGCAGAGGAAGAGTTTTTGGAAGGTTATCATATGACATTCCTCAATATGGAGTGTTTTCCAGTGTTTCAACAGGATACACACTGCCATATTTGGTATACACAATACAATCTCTCTTCAATGCCAGCGATCATTGGCATCAGATAGTGAATTACACCGCAATTTATTTACCACATCAGATAAACCGTAATCAGTTGTATTTGATTTTTCGAACTCCGTCTGATACCTTGACATCACTTTTCTTTTCACTCGGAGATACACAAAAGAAATGTTCATGATAGAGAGGCTGTAAACAAATAAGCCATATATAATATAAGCTTACAGGCGGAGATCGTAAAAGCTTGTCTTTGAAATTAAAGGAGTCATTCCACCTACTTTATGGAATTCTCATCCCATTCCACAACAAATTTATGGAACTTTTCACCAAAGGATCCCGAGTGTAGATTTCTGAAATAAAACAGTTGACATGGTTGTAAAATTGACTCTAGATTGGACATGAGCTTTTTGTCTTTGCAGTCTGTTGATCTATAAGGGCATTTTGTACATTTTAAATAGCAAATAAATCCTATCTTTGACATCTTTACATTGACTTCGGACTTGCAACCAAAACAAGGTTGCTTTCAAATAAGGTAAGTCCCACAATTTACTTACTTGGATGCTGTGGCTCTGTAGAAGGGATCATGTTGCCAGTTAGGACCGAAATGAAGTGTACTACCAACATGGTCTACACCAACTGGGTTGCCCTGTTTATCTTTATAATTCAGGTTTCCTTGAAATATGAGGTTTGATACTCATTACATACATATAAATTCTGAATATGTACAAAGAGCCGTATTGTTTTGATATCTTCTTAATTCAAAACGTCGCATACTTCCCAGCATAATATATAACAGAGAGATGATCAAATATGCCATCAGCAACAGAGATCTCATCAATATGCCGACCTGGGCGTTTCTTTGAAACCAACCAGGGAATTATGTTTTGGGCCTTTCTTTGTCGTGTTTCAGATTGGGTGTTTACTTTTAAGGCAACCATGTATTTATATAAAAGCTTAGTTGCGTATGGTTGCAAATGAGAATAGCTGTCATAAGTTTCGAACGCATCTCTCATGCAACTGAGTTGACGAGTTGCGTTCGGTACGCTTGACCACTTTCATTTTTCGCAACCATATGCAACTGGTATCCGCTATGTGTGAGGGCATCTTAAAGAACCATCGTCTAAGCGTTGTTGATAAACAAGAACTGTATGGTTTCTTGGTTCCAGATAAAGAGCTGATAAGCCTGAAAAGGAAGGCTACTATCAGATCCTCAGTAATGACGTTCATAACGTTAATAAAATAAATGAAACGAATACAAACCTCGACTTTCCATGATGTCGATCTCACCAGAAGCTGGCCATGAACCATACGTATCCCATGTCGGCATCATCCATATCGCTGAAACAGTTACAGTAACAATGTACATTATTTACAAAGAAAAAAAGCAGCACATGTAAGTGTAACAATGTCTGCAAGTCTTCTTACAAATCAAAAAGAGGAAATGCAAAATAGTATATACCTCCCTTCATTATATCATAGAACTGTATACTCTATGATTATATACATACCAAGACCGATTTGATGCTTTATTATATCGGACTAACCTCTTCAAATTCAAACAGTGTTTTCAAAATATTAAATAGTGGTCATATATCTTAAAAAGCCATCCGTTCAGCAGACAAAAGCATAAACAGGTTTCGAAATAGACATTTTGTAATGTGTGAACCTAATTAAAACTGCCTACCTGGCCAGATCCAATCTCCAGTTGGTAATTTAGCCTCCACTTCAACTTTGCCATATTTGAAATTAAAACCACGTGAACTTCTCAGCCTTGCTGATTGGATAGGATTTAGTACTCTGCCTGGAGCGCCATCTCGTTTACAACCATAGAACGCATTTCCGGTGCAGGTATCATGAGGTCCAGCACCTGGAAAATATTTAGATATAATCATTTCTTCTTTAACTTTTAGAATCTATTTTCCGAATAGTTCTGTGTAACGTTGATACAGCAGCTCATACAATGAAAGTACGACTGAATTCAAACTTGATGATGATAGTGATAAGGGTTATGGTATAGCCTAATATGAAACGGCTTTGAATTTATGAGCCCACTTGGCAGGAACTGTTCTTGTATTAATAGTGTTCAGCATTGTCGAGTATGGAAAAGTCAAAACAATAGATGTATTATAGACCTACCCCAGATATCTATACTACCAGATTCTAGAAAGTTATCATCACCCATAGCATCCGTGGTTAGAGTCTGCAATTAATAATAGAAAACCAGTTCTTTAGAAACATTCCTGTTTTAGGAAATGAAACTCGATCAGATTCTTATGTCTTTTGCCTTTTTGGTGGCGAATTCCAATTTATTTGCTCTTGATCAACATGACCCTAGGTATTCCAGAAGCCCCAAGTGTAATACTAGGTTAACATAATCCAGGTACTGGTATTGTCATGTGTCTAATCATAATAAGAAACTAAGGGACCCAGATTTGTATCTCATAGACTATTAATTCTTAAACTGAGAACTAACGACAAGAAAATGTTTTTGATTGAGAATTAAAACCACACTTACAGGTTTAATATGAAGGACGCCATTTTTACAATAACTGTTACTTCTATTGTTTGTGTACTGCTGAAATTCCCAATTCTGAAAAATAAATGATGATTAAATAAGGCCTGATTACGGTGTGTGGTTGAGCCACTGCCCTCATTGTTCCATCTCCTGGAGTAATCATGTTAGACATGTTATTCCAAATCAGCTTATTCATCGACCTTCTCTGTGGCCATGGTCAGAACGCTTAAGTGAATAAAAAGTTTTTTAACAAAATACATACCCCGCCTCCTCCGAGAGTGAGTTCATGTTCCCAAACATGGTGATTGATAAAATCAAAATTATCTTCAAAGATCAAACATGGATAGCTGGTACAAGATTGCTGGGTTGGCGTTTGTTGTCGAGCTACAATCAGATAAAAAACACTGGATTTAATGATATAGTCTTTTCTCCAGTCTTGATAAGTTCTGGACAAAAAACCACCAAACGTTCAAACTATGGATTCGACACGATTTTGCTCATTCCTGGCTTTGACGCTTTTATGCTAATGCTTTTATACAGGCTTTGATACGCTTATTCTATTGCTTTAATACGCTCAAATAGTCAACACCCTCATACGAAGAAGCTATCAGAGTTACTCACTGTTACCACCGGAGGAGTGTGGGTGATTATTAGTGGGCGCCTGCGTAGCATGATTATCCGGATGTGACGTATGGTGATCATTGTCTGGTGTGGGATCTGAAATTATTATGAAGAATCTCAAACATCTTCTGAAACTCAGTCTGTGCTATGATGACACTTAAAATTAGCAATACCCATGTTAGTGTAAAGAATGTCGAAAGAGGAAATGTGAGGAACTTCATTGGGAAGATTGGCCCTTGACGATATCTTCTTTGAGCAAAACACGTCTTCATTAGTCCAATCAGGTGTAAAAAAAAGTAGGACGACACTGGTCAAAAATTGTTCTACAGCATATAAAGCCACGCCTACCTGTCAATCTCCATTCCTGGTCCAATAACTGCTCAGCCAGACCATTAACAACACCATATACCCAATAAGATATATAATCACCATGGTTTATAGTCACAAGTCTATTCTCATATACAAAATTTCCACCTACAATATCAGTCAAAATATCTGATTGTTTAACAGAGACCCATTCTAAGCTAGTTATTTTTACGTCTCTTCTCATCCTCACAATTTCCTTACAATCTTTATTACCTTGCTGCGAGGGTTTTGATTGGCTGTACCTGCTAGCGTCCAATCCAATAAAATCACTGAATAACAAACTTACGTGATACCAATTTTAAAGCACGTCTCTATTCGGTGCTCAGCTAGCTGCTTACCAAATTGTTCAGGACAAAACAATAATATTAGCTTCTCATTTTAAGTTTCCAAATGATTGGCACTTTGAGCAATAGTGCTTTTAACTGCAGTCAATTCGAAATTGCGTGCAGTCATTCATTCCTACGTTTAGTGTGCTACGAGAATTCGAAGTAATTGATGCTAGAAAAACATTTTTTCTTCCCTGTAGTGGTTTACCTTGCTTATTTTTGATGTCGACATTATAATCGCCAGCCTGGACCCCAGATACCTTCTTGTTAATACTGAAATGCAGAGCTACTAGCTCATAACCAACATCTACAAAGGACATTTTTCAATTGATTCGATTACTTTTATTAATTTTGATGTATTGGAATATTTTTCGAGTCTATGAAAGCTGAAAGATGGTCGATAAGGTAAGGTAGGCTGAGCGTTAGCAGAACAGATTTCCAAAAAAGGAAACCAACGACTATACTAAGAAACGACCTTAGCTTTTGGTCATGGTTTATCCTACAGTATCCATGCAATCCAAAGTCCACTGAAATTAACAAGAAAGACTTTTTCAACATTATCAAAATTTGACATTACGCCTTACTCTCACGATCTTTGATACATGTGATGAAAAGTGGTATGTTTACCTTTAATTTCGAATCTAACGCCATTGGGTGATAGAACCTTGATAGACGGGGCGCTGATACTGGTTGCTAAGGGAAGCAACCCCACAATGGAACACACCAATACTAACAACATTCTGTAAAATAGAATGAGCTATGATATAAACCATTATGATAATATTTATCCGGACCTTGAATATTGAAGATGAAGAACTCAACCAATCTTGCCACTGTTAAAGGAGTATGTGTATCGGGGACACTAATAGTATATAATATTTGCGATATTCCAATTTCTGTCAGCATCTGTGGTTCTTGCAATTTCACTCAGACGAATCATTTTATGACGTAAAATTGTTACAAAAAGCCAAGTTTTAATGGAATTGCAAGAACAACAGTCGTCTGACTGCAAATTTCTGCTATAAAACATTTTAGACACATGTGCATTTTAAAATGCATGCTGATATTGTTGTACTTTTGTGCTATTCCATGTGTTTCCGTGTCTATGTGTTACATTTAGGACTTACCTGGATGGTGTCATCGTGATTCTAGTGTACAATTGGTTTGATCATATCTTTATCTCCGATATCTCATAGATCCGTTGTCGAAGAAAAACTTAAAACTTTATTACAGACAACGTGGAAGTAATATATCATATAGATAAGGTTTTAGACATCTCCACAATGTTACGTTATTACGAATTTTATCTTATACCTTGAGTGCGTTGCTACCTTTCTTGTATCTTGAAGTTTGTAAATGAAGCTATTTGGTTGGATTGTACTCTAGCTCATACAGCCAATCAAAGAGACAGAGTCTGTAATCGCTGCAGTACAATCCAATCAATCGCTTCATGACGTGATATTAGATAGGTGGCTATTACAATCAAGGCATAAGACGAGGTTCATTGTGAAGATGGGTTATTTAAGGAAGATGATCCCATTTCCTCTGTATCTAGCTATATACCACTCACGTATCATTCGCGTGTTCATTCTTGACATTATACAAAGCAACATTTAGATTTCCCCAACGGACCTAAGAAATGTTTCTGTTGCTAATACTACTTTCTATCTTTATGTTATATAAAATATACGTCTTTAAATTACATGTTAAATTTATAATTTATTCTCCAAAAACCTTAAGGGCAGGATGTCGATTTCTATTAGCGTCTCTTGGGACTAAACGGGCTACCGGAAGCCTTGAAAGGAACAAACTGTGGTATTAAGTTCGTAAAAGTATTAAACTGTATAGTCAACTGTTAAAGCTCTCAGAGTTATCTGTATTACATTTAAAGTTGAATGCCCACGTGCAGTTTCTCTACATTTAAATGAAAATGTAAATCTAGTACTTCTTTTTAAAAGCTCTGAAGAGACGTCTTATCTTTAGCAATTTGTGGTGGGTCACCCCTGATATGTGACTGGACTGTCTCTCTATGCAGATAAAATATTTGTAAACGCTGGTCAAATACTTCAAGAGCTGTATTCTAATCAGATTCACCAAACAATACAAAACAAATAAATTGGTACAGGCAAGGACCAAACCATTGGACGAAAGTTGACACCAACTTTTATCAGAAAGATTTAAAGTTTTTAATTAAATCATCTTATATATCTGGTGTTCTCATGTCGGACAGTCATTTCAAAAACATGATACATATAATCTCTCTTGTTGTTTTTCTCTGATAGTTAGTTTGAGCTGTCAGGGAAGAAAGACCAGTTGATATTCCAGGTTTTGTGGTGAAAAAGATACGCCTTTACTTTGCAATCTGAAAACCTTGTAAGTTCATTTCGAGTTATTGTATGTCTTTATAATAGCTTTCATGCTTTTGTTACATTAAATGTGATATATTTGTGATGTATTTGGTTTCGCATAGGGCGTTCTAGTGAAGCAATCTTAATCCTGAGGTAGGGTTTCCAATTTGATGTCTTACAATTTCATATATTCCAGAAAGAATGGAGTCAAATATAACAAACATTTCTAGATCATACGTGGATTTGATCAATTTAGTTGGTACATTGAACAAAGCATCAATTGGTCTGTCCTTGATCATTACGCCGTTGATTCTAGTGTTCAATATATTACTGGTAACCATCATTCTGACGTCATCGAAATTCCGATGGAGTTTACGGTCTATGGTAGTGGTCAGCATTGCCCTCTGTGATACTCTAATAGGAACTTTAGGATTGCCGCTAGAAACAGATTTTCTTATCCAGAGACACGTAACGGTAATATGTCACGTTCATATCGTCATACAGGTGCTTGTGACGTATGGTCACGTTACTATTACCTTATATGGATTATTAATCATAACTGCCCAATACGTTATCCAGCAATGTAACATACGTCACGATATCAATCCTACGATTCAGCGAATTTTGAACGTCGTCCTATCTTGTTTGCCCTGGATACTCGCCATTTTGATTCTCTCCCCTATAATGCCAGCAGGAATCTATGACGATATTAAACATTTATGGACAGAAAATTTTTGTCCAATGGACCTGGAGCGTTGGGCTACCAGAGTGCTATTATCACTATGTTATTATGTTCCCGCCATTTTGATCTCTCTTCTCTCAGGCCTCATCATCCGTCGATGGTATCATGAAGTTTACGTCACACCAGAAATGCAACCGAGGCTACTCAACGGAGAGGTATCAATTCTGCATCCCAAATTCATCATATTTATCAACACAGTGACAATCCTGTTGATATTACCGTTATATTTGATTGAAACGTGTGAAATTTTACTCAAAGATGCGGACATCCAGTTACTATTTACTATGTTGTTGATTGCTATGCAATTGGCTATGTTCAAGTCGGCCATATTGCCGTGTTTATGGTTGAATACCCCCGAGATTAAAGGAGAATTGGTGGAGAAATTCAGTCGGTTACGATGTTGGAGAAGAGAAGATCCGACCTTACAACAAGTAGTCAATAAAACGTATGTAGATTTTAAAGACGACGAAAAGAAACAGGAGAAATCATCATCCTCTGCGTGAACTGCCTTGCCTGCCTCTTAACTTCCTTTTTTTTCTTTTCTGTGTGTTTTGATACAAAATTTCAAAAGTTTCGATAAATACATGTGTGATTGAAACAGACTGTCGTTAAAATTAGCTACAAACATAGTTGGATGTTGGTGGGGATTATGACTGTGACTAACGAGGATGGATAAAAACACCATCTGATGATTAACTTTAGAGTTACCCCGTGAAGGCATCTTGCTCCTGCGGGGTGTACCCACTCATTCCACCCTACCATTCCAATTTTTCAGTCATACGTCTGTGGTTCTTCGTAAAGGCCTTTAGGAATATACTATTAGAGGCCTTTGCAACAATACGTCATTTATTCATGACATAAAATGAAACGCGTCCCCCATACACATACATAGTTTAGAAAAGACTCTCCATTGTACTGTACAATGTAGATGAAAATATCAGCTACCAAATTTAATCTTTTTGTTATTAGATTAAATGCGAAAAAAAATCGCGATACGGTTTAATAGATAAAAAGTAATACTTTACCTTGTCTCAATGATGTTTTATGTATGTATATTTAAAATAAATAACATCATTTATAGTCTTAATTGTCGATAAATGATCAACAGCTTAATGCTATCTTGTGGGCAGTTCTAAATGCAAACTTCGATTTTGGATTAAGTTGATAATGATAGTATTTAATAAATACAAATAGATATACCTAAATATCTTAAAGTGTCAAAACACAGCCACACGATACTTTACACGTATCACTGCATGTCATATCGTGACCTATGCTGGGACGTTTCTACAGGGGGACACCCCCACCCCCAAAGGCTTTGGCCCAACTTTTAAATTTCTTATCATTGTGCATAGTGAGAGAATTGCCTGTCAGGCCCCTTTGACAATTGTGTGGCCCCTACTCGGCCACTCACCTATTGATCCAACAGCTAGACGCATAAATTCACAGATAAATCGTGCCGACACTAGTAAAATGTAGTAAAGCCCTTTATTGTATGCGACTCCCACCAACAGGACCCCCACTGACAGGACCCCCACCAACAGGGGCTCAAAAGTAAAGGTATATCCCTCATTGCTATATTCACCACAGTTATTATTTCAATCGGGGTCCGTAGACGCAAGCAAGCCCTTCATTGCAAGCGACCTATCACAGTATATTATATAGTAACTTATGACTGTAACAGTAAGAACTAATTATAATATATGTATATGAATAAATTATTGTAATTAACAATATGATACCACGTATAATTTGTCGTGAATGCACTTTGAAGTTTTCTATTGTTGTTTGTAATAGTCTTATCGAGTAAACCCCCATATACTTATTAAAACCGTTATTCAAATGCCAAATTGTTATGCAGACATAGTACACTCCCTTTACTTGCAGCCAGTGGCGTTGACAGGATTTCAGTGAAGGAGGGGGGGGTAGGGGGGGGGGGGTTACCCTTTTAGATTTTACAAGGTTACAAGTCGCGGGTCAAGGGGGGGCCTCCCTGGAATAGGCAGAGCCATTGTTCTGTACTGATCCATTTCATGAAAGGCGTCGTAAGTTCAAGTCCCTTCACACAAAAACATTTCTGATTTCTGTCACACCTTGACGAAGGGTCGGTCAGTGCTTTCTAGGATGGGTTCGTTGAGAGTTCTTAAACTTTCATATATTTAAGCCCACACCAATGTACCTAAAGATGGAATTCAGGGAATGGATGAAACAATTAGGGTGCAGAAATCAG